CTTCTGTAGTGGCAACGTTGTTAATGAATATAAATTGGAACATTTTTGCAAGACCGGAAGTACTACAGCTCAACATGTGCAAAAAGTGAATAATCGGCTCTAAAAATGGCATTTTTGGGTCGATTTTCTTCGGGTTTTCATTTCTAGAATCTACCTGTAATTCTGATATGATAGCACTTAAAAAATTTCGAAAATCGAATGTTTGTCGCACACATTTTTCGGCCGAATTTTGCAATTTTTGACCAAAAAAAAAACTTTTTTACTTTTTGCCTGATAAATCTAAAAAAAAATGAGCAAAGACAGTTTAAGAATGTGAACAAATTGGAAAATCAAATTTTTTACTTTACTTCCGGTTTAAAGGGGAAATCGATTCTCACTTCCGGTTGAACTACTTCCGGTGTAATTAATTAAGCGCGACGAAACTTATCGATAAATCGATAGCCAAAGTTATGACAAAAAAACGAAGAAGATAAAATCCGGTCCGAAGGTGATACTTTGGTCGCCATTTTGATTTTTCTGAAATGCGTCAGAATCTATTCAGAGATAACGGCTTATCCGATTTTGTTGATTTTGGTGTCAAATGAAAGAAAATGAAAATTAAAAAAAAAACTGTGGGAGCCGATTTTTGAATTTCGCTTTTGCTTTTTTGCTATTTCCGATTGAATTTTTTCGAAGTTTGAAGGCTCATATCTCATGACCTTGACCGTTGATGACCTTGATCTTCATTGGGTCAAAGGTCATTGACCTTGGCTATCAACTGATACTTTCATATTCGACATCTGACATCTACTTTCGGTTGTATGGCTGTCTGAATACAGCCAAATTCGCAACTTTGGACTGCTCTAGCACGTGATCTAATTAACCTTGAGGGTCAATTTTTTCGGATTCTTAATGTGCTCTTCATACTCTTTCTAACGATATATAACATAAGTTTTTTGAAGCAAAATTGAAATTCGTACTTTTTTGAAATTTGAGTGTTTTTTTTACAATGTTTGTGTCTCTTTGAGCTTGGTGTATGTATATCTTATGACCTATTTGATATTTGGAATACAACTAGACATTTTGAATATGAATTCACCTATGATCAAAAAATTGAGGTGGACGTGGCACATCCGGGTTGAATTACTAATTGTTTACATTTTGGGGCAGGGGCATGACTCGCATAGAATACGTTTCTTCAAGAAGGGACTTTGCACACAATTATCTCATCCTTTTGGCCAGTTTGTGTTAACAACTCAGTTGTTTTAGCTTCATAGTTCCAAAAAAGGAACAGGTTTTAACATTTGGATATTTTCATTTTTCGATTTTGACCTTTGTTGAATTTTTCTGACCTATATCTTTTGACCTGTATGATGTAAAAGCTTGAAATTTAAAACACAACATAACATCTTAAATATCAATCAACCTATGCAAAAACAATTGAAATGGGCGTGGCACATCCGGGTTAGATTACTCATTTATGACATTTTTAGCCAGGGGCATAACTCGCAAAGTATACATTTGTTCAAAATGGGAATTTGCATACAGTTATTTCATGATTTGAGCCACCTTGTTTTAAAAGTTCGGTTGTTTCCGCTTCATAGTTCAAAAAAGGGAACGGGTTTTGGAATTTCAAAATTTTCAATTTTTGACCTTGACCTTTGTTGACCTTGACCTTTGTAGGATCAAACATCACTGGCATTGGCTATCTATTTATACTTTTATATTTGCTGTCCTATGTCAACTTCCGGTTTTATAGCCGTGTGCAATTTGAAATTTTGATGACTCATATCTCTTGATCTTGACCTTGTTAGACCTTCTACTTAACAAGATCAAAGGTCATTGACCTTGGCTATCAGCTGATACTTTCATTTGTGAGGTCTGTCATCTACTTCCGGTATTAGAATTTTTTTAAAAAATTTCTCAACTTTAGACTGCTCTTGCACTTGAAATAATTATCGCCGAAGGTTGATTTTTTCGGAGTCTTTTGCAATTTGCTACATTTGCAAAGTCTCACTCTGTGCCACGTGTGGCTCTAGTTTTAGGTTGTTTCCTCTCCCCTCAAAAATTAATATATCTGATGGATTCATTGGCAATATGTTAAAAGATTCCTCGAAAAGTCACATACATGGGTACCTTGCAAAGCTAGGTTGTGGTAAAATAAGTTGAGAGGAATACATATTGTTAGAAGTTGGATATGAAAGTGATTATCCGTTGATACATCCCGTCATTGTAACTTACGAGTATCGGTATATTAGTATCGATCGATACACCACAACATTGATACATTCTACAATCCTAAATATTATGCCATTTTACCGAAACCAATTTTCAAAGAAACTGCTGATATAATTAACAATATTCTTGCCGATTTATTCAAAACTAGTCATCTCAAACAAAAACAATATGACTGTCTGCCAGGACCTGATTGTCGTGAGAGACATTTGTACACTTTGCCTAAAATCCATAAGAATCCAACCAAGGAGTGGCTTATCTCGAATAAAATCCCCAAAGGCCGTCCGATTATATCTGACTTTGGTAGTGAGTCGTATGCAGTGTCAGAATACATTGATCATATCTTACTACCTCTAGCATGTCAACATCGCGCCTACCTTAAAAACACAACCGATTTTGTCAATAAAATAAAAAATCTTCGAGTTCCCTCTAATGCTATTTTAATTTCTATCGACGTTTCTTCTATGTATATCAATATCGATAACACTACTGGTTTAACGACAGTTCGTAAAGCTTTTAATAGAAACCCAGATCCAAACAGACCCGACGATGCAATTCTACAGCTTTTAGAGATTTGTCTTAGTCGAAACGATTTCACATTTAATGGTAAAACATATTTACAATCATCAGGGACAGCTATGGGCAAACGATTCGCCCCTTCGTACGCAAACCTTTTCATGGCAGAGTGGGAACATGAGGTGTTGCCCCTCTGTCCATTTGACCCACTTTTTTACGGACGCTTCTTGGATGACATTTTTATGGTTTGGACTTATTCTATATCTTATTTTTTATCAGAAACTCATTATTTTGTAAACAACTCTACGAATAAAAGGTACCCGATCCAGGAACATCTAACATGTGAACATTCGAATGTAATGTATTTAATTTCATGCAAGAAATGCCCCAAACAATATGTAGGAGAAACTAAGAATAATTTACGAACTTGCTTTAATGCTCATAGGTCAGACATCAAATTAAAGAAAGACAAGCCTGTTTCTAATCATTTCAACCTTGACGACCATTCAATAGACGATCTCACCCTTATCCCAATTGAGCGTATAGAAATTGACTTGCCCGAAGATGAAACTACCAAATTCCGTCAATCTAGGGAGGCCCATTGGATTGAGATATTGAATACAGCAAGACCTATAGGACTAAATATTCATCATAATGTAGGCATAGCACCCTTTGTTGTCCCGTTTAATACAACCAGCAATCGAGCAAGCAAGATAGTTCATGCCCACTATAAGAGCCTTCAAGAGAAATTCCCCCTTGTCTATAAGCAGAAAATGATAGTTGCATATTCAAAAAATAAGAACTTAAATGATAATATTGTTCATAGTAAACTAAAAACAATCAGTACATAACAGATACTATACTTCTAATTTTTTCTTATTTCAGATCAGAATAAGAACAGAAGAAAACCCAATATCAAGACCCTTAATCCTAATTTCTAAATACAGTGTCTGCTCCACCCTAGGCCTGTACATTTGGGAGAATCAAACCCTCCCTTCCCCGAAATCAAAAACCGTTCATCGAAAAATCTTCATATTCGAACTTGACCAAGATGTCTCAATTGTCCTGGTTCTTGAAAACGCATTAAATTTTTAGCTCGCAACTACACAAAAAGACACGATTCTTACTGGATTTTGTGTAACCTTGATAATATTGTTCATTACCACAAGAAATATATGACTGACGGTTGGATATTTCATACTGGGGATTGTTAATGTACTGACAAATATTTTTTATTTAAAATCAAAGCTGTCAGTGGCAGTATATTAACTTGCCCGACGAGCTTTTTAAACATGCAATTGGTTTTAAGTCTTTAGACTTGTACACCAAAACAAATAAACAATGCAGTCCATGAATAATGAGCATCATTCATAGCATAATACACAAATTCCAACATCAATTAATCATACTAATAAGATATCCTTTTTTTAGGAAAATGCTGAGATGGGCTTATGCCCCCTCCCATTCCACTGAAAAATGATAGAGAGAGACTTGGCTCAGGAAGACGTTCAAAAGCAACCATCCCCGAAAACATTACCCAGGTGCATGGCATGGTGATGTTTAATTTCCGTTTGACCACATTGCCAGAAAGAGTTGAGCATATCATCACCAACGTTATGGGAATGACAAAAGTATCTGCAATATGGGTGTCAAAGACCACGAATAATGCAAAATGATCCTTTACCCAATTCGTAACGTAACATTGTCCTCTTGGGAGTACTTGTTTTAGGTTGTTTCCCCTACCCTCAATTTAATCATGTATACATCTGATGCAGACAATGGCAATATGTCCAAGATACGCCGCTAATTCAAATGATGCATGGGTATATTATTGTGATCTGATACATCTCGGTATGTAATGAAACACCCATGGAAACACACTTGTGGGTACTGATACATTAGTATATATGATACATTAGTATTATCGATCGATACAACATAACATTGATAGGTATTGATACATTCATTGCCATTGATCATTGTCAAAAGATCATTCATGCACACTGATACATCCACTTTGACAACGTGATGCGTTTATATATAAATATGCTCATCTTTCGTCAATGATAAGTTTTGATAGATATTTTGGACAATAAGTAATTCATATTTATTTCAAATACAACAAATCATAACATATCAATAACAACGAATCATAAAACGTACAATATATGGTTCCGAGAATTTGACATTTTATGTTAAAAAAGACAGGACAAATTCGTATTTAGTACAAACTGTATACTACCATGGTCAACGGTCCAGTGTTTATTACATCAATTGTCACCAAGGTTATGAACAACGTAATGGCTTTGGTGTTGCCGGGAGAGTGACGATAGCTGGTTTGTCATTGTTTTTAAAGGTAAAATAGTAGTTTGGAAGTTGGTAAGGTCCACATCTTTGAAAGCAACCACCGTTTCATATTTTAAAAGCGGTCTCTTCATGAAACCTTTTTCTTCATAAATTCTGATTTGGATAGAACACGTTTCTAATTCGCCTATGGATAATTTAGTGAACACAAAATCTTCTTCCCATTTCTTAGTATTTGCTATAGCGATAAGTTTTCCCCTCCTTTTCTGAAGTTTGTTAGGTAGGATACACAATTTAGTAAAAATTCGCCCATGCTTGGGGAAAGTTAACCTTGCTCGATGGAGAGATACACAGAGTAAATTGTTTTTATGTTCATGGTTGATGGTAATTTGAACTTGATCGGTTCCCAGGTCGACGTCGGCTATAGAATCTCTATGTTTCGGAAATAAATACTCCTCAAACATAGAGTTTTCTTCGAAGCCAGAGTCATCTGAATCAATTGACGTAAGCAATCGACGTCCAAATGTCTTTTCACTAATATCAATATTGTCTGTCGTAAAATTTGGGTTGTTTACTGTTCTGTGGTAGAGCTGTGGTGACTGTGGGTCGCTTCGTTCTATTATCTGTTTTGGCGTCAAATTGAGCCTAAGCCTGTCGAATTTATTAATTAAACGTGGAAAGTTTTCTTCTTTTTGTCTAAGTGCTTCTGCTCTCCTATTTGATTGCTTGGAATAGTATTCGTCATACGAGGCTGTTTTGCGTTTCATTGCTTCATTACGATTCAAATTCGGAGAACGAATTGATATTGCGATTGCTCTGGAGAAGTCTAAGGAATCTTGAAATATACTGCCGATTTGATCTGCAACCTGTTTGAAGTCCGAAAAGTCTTGCGAAGCTTTCTGTTTCATTTGCTGAAATATGTCCATATCTACAAAAAATAGTCGATTATATTATATTTGTTATTTTCCAATTTATTCAATTTTGGAGTTCGTGATTTCACTATTACATTTGTACATCAATATGAAATTTCAATTGGATAAAAGCAAACTATTATCAGGATTAAAGAATAAGAATAAATCAATTCTACAGAAACAATTATATATCAAGATAGACTTACCGTGCACTTTGAAATGTTTTTCCAAGCTTTCTCCCTGTGATGATTACTGTTGCTGTGCTGTCAGTGTTGTAGCGAGGCATATGATATCATGTGAATAATATGGTTCTAAACCAAGTGCTATTTATATAGTGTGTCTTCATACGTCAACGTCCGGTTTTCAAAGGTGCAAATTTTCATTTATACCGGAATTCGTGACCAAGTAAAGGTTTACATCTTGCGTGACTGTTGTTTCGTTGGATACAGTACGTAGGACCACCACCATGATGTATTGCAGCAGTTTGTATCAGGAAGATATCCGTTTGGATTCACGATATGATTTAACATCAAGTCATATATATATAAAGATAAAGTACAAGTACTTGCTTACTCACGGTAAAATATATAAGTAATTAGGGTTGTCATCAATTCTTAGTAAAAATGAAACACTTTTTAATCCACTTTCGACAGAACAAGTTGTTATTTAATTTTGCTAATGTACAGGCCAAGCACAGAATACATGCTTCAATTCGAAATTGGAAGAGGTGGTCTATGGAGGTCAATTTGGAGGTGATATTTATCAAAAAGGACGGTGGTTTATCATTAAAGATTTTTGGAAGATGCTAAATGAATTATTTGAAAGGACTTTAGTTAAGTTACATGTGAATATAAACATTTGAGTTTAGCATTTCAATCATTATGTTGTTTGAATTATAAGTAATAGGTAATAAGATATTTTACATTTGTCTTTGAATCAGTGAATTAGACAAATCGGTAGAGAATGGATTAATGGCGCAAATTTATCTCCATAGTGGTCTTAGTCGGCTGGTTAGATTTTCGTCATTGTGGGATTCCGCAAAGTCCCAGTTCGTTATCGAAATGTCAAGTCCTTTTTGCAGGGCGTTCTTCGAACTTTCATAAAAAGTATGAGTTTGTGTAGAGTACTCTGCAGAAACGGTAATAGTTACAGCAAGATTAGCAATGCATTGGATCTGCATATTCGGGGTTTTAACTAATGAATATAAATTAGAACATTTTTGCAAAACGGATAGTGGCACATTGCAAAATTGCAAAAAGTAGATAATTGACTCTAGAAGGCGCAATTCTGGAGCGATTTAGCTAGGGTTTTTGAATTTCGCACGAATATCCTAAGTGATAGCAGTTAAAAAATTCGAATTTTGAAAATTCAGAGCACACATTTATAGCCGCATTTCGCATTTTTTTTATTTTCTCGGCTATGCGTCGAAATTTCTGGTGTCAACATAGATCACAACAGAAAACAAATTAGCACCTTATGACTAAATATGGCCAATTTTACACTTTTGCAGTGCTGTATCTCAATCCCTAATTGATTTAGCACCCTACCACGTTTAGATTATTTACGTACTTATTTAATGGTTTCAAAAAATATTGCATTTGATGATGTCAAAGCCATATTAAAAAACAATTGCAATTTACTTAAAACTTTGAACACTTCTATCTCAAGAGCTGTACCTTGGATGGTGTTGGTATTCACAGTAAACATTAATATGGACTACAGCTTTTAGATGATGTTAATATTTTACATGCCCGATATGTGGTTCCGGTATAATGGGTGTCACTAAAGGTTGAGTTTGCATCTTTAAAGCCTTCTAACAGGTGACCTAATAGAGATAGAGCAATATTATTGTCGGATTCATAATGCTGAGCTTTCCGGTGATATATTACATATATACCTTGCATGCAAATTCAAAATCCCATACACTTAACATGGTGCAATTATTGCAGTCTAAATACGCTGTCATCGGTCTGTCAACTTTAATTAAAATTAAAATGCCAGATTTTCCTCTTATAGACACACTCCCTTTTATATTTGTTTAATATGTTTTATGTCCAGTTATGATATATAAATAAGCTCTAGGATGGATTAAACCGTGTTTTACTGTAGGGTGAGCTTAGGAATACCCCAAGTTAATTTCCTTATTTCTTATCCAAATTTCATCAAACTTGGTATGTATGTGTATAGACCAATTCTAAATTTGATGGAAATATTCCATTTGCATCCGCATTACAAAATTTCTTATTTATCTAAATTTATGTCCACCTTCGTATGTACCTTCATGTTGTAACACGCCCTGCATCAGTACTGTTAAAAGAACAATTCTAGTTTTTTTTTCGAAATTTACACTGGGCACACAGCCTAGGCTTCGTCAGCTGCAGCAACATTTCTACATGTGTAGATCCTCTGTAGTGGCAACGTTGTTAATGCATATAAATTGAAACATTTTAGCAAAACCGGAAGTGTCACAGTTCAACATGTGCAAAAAGTAGAAAATCGGCTTCAGGGATCGCATTATTGGGTCGATTTTCTTCGAATTTTCATTTTTGGAATCTGCATATATCTGATATGATAGCAGTTAAAACAATTTCAAAATATTTGTTGCATACTTTTTTCAAACAAAATTTGCAATTTTGGACCTAAAAAATAAACTTTTTTGCTCTTTGTCCGATTGATAATGCAACAGTCAATTTTTTTTGGTTCACATCCGGTTTGAACAGTAAATCGATTTTAACTTCCGGTGATATCAACGAAATTTTTCAGGTCAGTAGCCAAAGTCATTACAAAAAAACGAAGAAAAAAAAATCTGCCCGGAAGTGATACTTTGGCCGCCATATTGATTATTCTGAAATGCTTCGATTTTTATTCAGACATAACGGCTTATCCGATTTGAATGATTTTGGTGTCAAATGAAAGAATATAAAAAAAATATTAAGATGCTGGGAAGCCGATTTTGGAATTTCGCTTTTGCTTTTATGCTATTTTCTGTTGAATATTTTTTAAGTTTGAAGGCTCATTTCTCATGACCTTGACCTTTGATGACATTGACCTTTATTTGATCAAAGGTCATTGACTTTGGCTATCAGCTGATATTTGACCACCGATATCTATTTCCGGTTTTATGGATGTCCATGAACAGCCAAATTTACAACTTTGGACGGCTCTAGCACGTGACCAAATTAATCTTGAGGGTTATTTTTTTCGGATTCTTAAAGTGCTTCTCGTGCTCTTTCCATCGATACATAACAAGTTTTTTTTAAAGCAAAACTAATACTAATAGGATACGTTTGTTCAGAAAGGGACTTTGCACACAATTACCTCACCCTTTTGGCCAGTTTTTTAACAGCTCAGTTATTTCAGTTATATAGTTTAAAAAAACACATTAAAGGGACATTCCGCTTTTTTAGTAGCTCGAAATTTTTTTTTGATTAAGTTTGTGAAAATTACACCAAAATCTTCAGAAATGAACGTGCCCTTTAACGTATCTGAAAGTTTTAACTAGAAACATTCCAGTCGTTAATTTTTAAACGACCAAAATATTTAAATACATTACGTAAGGTTTATAAGTTCGTTATGCCTTTAGAAGCTGTTAGAAAACTACTGTACGCATTTGAGTAAATAAACCGATACATGTAGAGAAATGTCTCCTCCGCATTCTAAGAGTTTTAACTAAATATAACATGCCATTAAATAGCAAAACACCAAAACTAGGTCAAACAAATATTTTAATTAACCCTTTTAAAACAAAACAAAAGATATATAGATATAAATAGCATATGTTAGAAATATTTTCAGCTATAATTTACAAAGTTTTTGATTATGAATACATTTTACAAAATTGCGGAATGTTTTTTAAGATATAAATGAAAGATACCTAAAGTTGTAAATATAATAACATGAGTCTATATTATGTCACACCTCTTAAAAATTATAACAAATACAATGACATTTCAATATCTAAATAATTATCTTTTTGGTCAATTGTGGTACCTTAATATCATGGGAGTTCAGTTGGAATGAACAATATTACGAAGTTTTGTCAAAATCTGGCAAAACAATGTTCCTTTTGTGTGGTTAGGAGCTAAAAATTGAATTTCTTTTTCAAGAACGAGGGCTATTGCTCATATAAATCATTTTTGATTGAATTGTGCCATCTGGACTGTACCTTCTAGAAACTGTACGACCTAAAAAATCGATCGCCTTTCCGGAACAAGGGCAATAGCTCATATAAAATAATTTTTTTTTACTTTCAAAAGGGATCATCCAAGTCAGGTACAAACCAGAACTCTGATTTGAATGAAATTTGGTGTGATCATTTATATTCATGAGATCTTGGACAAGTTGAATTTGACGATCTTTCTATGAACGGTTTTTGAGTTATTGCCCTTAACTTATAAAAAACGCATCAAAATTTGGTTGTGAACACAATAGAGACTACAGTTTGCATCCAATTTAAATGAAATTTGGTGTTAATATTTATAATGATGAGATCTTGGACAAGTTCGAAGTTGGCTATCTTTCGATGAACGGTTTTTGAGTTATTGACCTTGTAATATGAAAAACGCGTCAAACTTTGATTGTGAACACAATAAAGACTACAGTTTTCATCCAATTTAAATGAAATTTGGTGTTAATATTTATAATGATGAGATCTTTGACAAATTAGAATTTGGCTATCTTTCGATGACTGGATTTTGAGTTATTGCCCCTGATTTATGAAAAACGCGTCAAAATTTGTTTGTGAACACAAAAGAGAGTACAGTTTTCACCCGATTTTAATTAAATTTGGTATGATCATTTATAATGATAAGATCTTAGTCAAGATTGAATTTGACAATTTTTCGTTCAACGGAATTTGAGTTATTGCCCTTGACTTAGTAAAAAGCATCAAAATTTGTTGGCGAAAGAGGTGACAGTTTAAGTCTGAATTTTATTAAATAATGTGTGTTTGTTTAAATCAACAATATCTTGGACAAATTAGATTTTTGGTTCTACTTGACACAGATTGGTGACTG